ATGAAGTGAGAGCAATACATGACATTACATACAGCACAGAAAAATGAAAGAAACACCAACAAAAGAGAACCAAAAATCACAAAATTAGCAACATTTCAGCCTTACAAAATAAAATGAAATGGAAGAAAATAAGCAGGGATAAACTTGATGAAGCCTCTCTGTATGTGTTTAGTTTATTTCTCTAAAACCTTTAAAAATATTGAGTCGAGTCTTTGGTGCTTTGTGCCTTTTCTCAGGGCTGCTGCTGTTGATGAGTGCGACTGTGATAAGTTAGACTTTGCAGCTGCCAGGGCTCAGAACAAAGAAGGTCTGGACCAGTTTGTCCAGGACCGCACCGTCATTGCTGCCCTCAATGACCGCCTGGTCAGGCTGATTGAGCTGGTGAGGACAAACACTGTAACTGCTGCCTCTCTGCTGGTTTCTTCTGTGTATACCTCACTCTATTTAAACCTATTTAGGCCCGTTGTTTTGAGGACGACAATGAGTCTCTTGAATGTCAGATCACTGAGTTGGAGGAAGAGCTGAACAATCGCCAGGCCTCTTCCAGCATCACTTCCACTGTGGCGGTGCCCGACCACAGCCTGGACGCTGTGGTGGAAAGACTGGGCAAGCAGAGGGTAGGTGCTGTTGGGTGTGTCTGCTGCATATCTCTCCGTGCGATGGCATGCCTAAATGAGGTTTTCTCATATCAGTCCGCAAGCACGTCTCACGTCATGACATCAGCCGGATCACACTTTGCATAATTGTGGGCAGGTCTGATTTACAACCTTGTCAAGATCCATCAGTGTCTGGCTGTTTCTCACCACAGGATGAGATTCTGAAAGACACACAGGAGCTGCAGAAAGAGCTCAAGCTCCTGAAGAAAGACTATGAGAAGGCGTCGCAGCAGAGGATCTTCTTCCGGCAGGAACAACAAGATGTGGCTGAGGTAATTGTATTTGGCAAGTATTCTGTTGGTATGCATGGAAATCCCATTGCTGCTTCAGAAAAATGGTCAGGAGGGAACTCTACTCTGCTCGACAAATAAAGAATAATTTGAGCTTTTTTTTCTTTTTTAAGGACTATAAATTTATTTGAAGATTTGGTTATAACAGTAGGTTCAGTTCCAAAAAGCTAAGAGAGCACAAGCGTAGTAAAATTCAGGGTCACATCAGAGTCAACCATCCATTAATATAACCACTCAAATAATAACATCCTTATTTGAGTGGTTATATTAATGGATGCTTGATGATCGAAGGGAGTCAGCTGGGGATTGAGCATCAGACCAAGAGGCCTCCTAGATGAGGAGGAGACCCTGAGGAAGACCCAGGACACACCGGAGAGATCACGTTTCGTAGCTTGATGCGTCGGTGTCCCCCAAGAAGAGCTGGCCTCTGCTTTGACTGCTGCCCCCATTTCACCGACCACGCGAGACGCAAAAAAAAAAGGATGGATGGTGATCATGGGCCCAAACACAAACGTCAGGATTCCCCACAGGGTCGTGTCATCTAGTCTGTCAAGGCTACAATTTCACTTGAAGTAAAATTATTTAGTTAGAGCTCAACTCTTAACTGAATTTACTACTGTTGATCAAAACTCATAAAACAGAGGCCAGTGTATACTAAAATTACATTTTGCAAATGTGAAACCTCAAGCAGTAAAGTTTATAATGTATAAAACTGCCCTTTAAATAAGTTTGGTGGCTGTGTCTACTTAAATATATTAGTATTAAATCACTTACTTAAAACTTGAGTATGAACCTTAGCGTTTTCTCTCTGATCTGACCGTGTTGCGATAATATACTTTGAGCACTAGATGGCAGGGCTGTCAAGCATCTTCACTTCCCACTCCATCCAGCTGACACCTGGCACAGCTGCTCCTCTGTAGTGCTGCCCAGTGGGTTTTGATCACCAGCAGTCACACAGTCTGGGCTGGTGGCCCACTGCAACCTGAGCCACCAGACTTTTCTTCCCTCCCACATGCCAGAGCCCATCGTTTCCTTTCCAGAACCAGGCCAGATGCGAAGGAGGCTTTCATTTGTGCCTCGCAGATGTAACGCAGGCTGTGATATGGTGCCGTAATGTTCCTGCTAGCTCTGTCCTGCAGTTCTGAATTGGAAGCAGCTGCAGGGTGACAAGACTTGGTGGGAAATCGGCAGGGAGGTAGAGGAAGATCAGAGATGCGGAGGAGAAGAGTGAATACTACACAGATCGGCCCACAACAAGCTGCATCTTTGTCAGCATAACGTCAAAAAGCCACATTTGGTTTGTTTTAGAGCATACCGCTGGCTTTTGTGTGGTTTCTATCCTACTCCATCATCAAGGATTGCACGTTTCACCTCCTCATTTTGATTTTCTGTGGCTACAGAAAAACAGAGTGAGTCTGAGTGGATGAATTAATTTAGCATATATGGAGTTTAGATTCATTTAAAGGTAAAAACAAGGTCAGAATTACATTAGAAGACTTTCTTTTGGTCAGAATTTCAGCTGGTTTTAATCCTCATTGGGATAAAAATAAACAGATAAATGGAGAGCACTAATCAATATTTTTACATTAAACATGTCAACAATAATACATGTGACAAGGCACCACTCACGGTGAAGACTTAAAGCTCCAACTCTTCTGCAGTTCAAATGGGAAACGGGAATCAAATTTAAATGACTGAATTTTTCCTGGTTGTTGGTGTCAGATGGCCTCGTCTGATCTAGGAACCATGCTTAGGGTTTACAGAGAGTAGTACAAAAAAATATATCCAATGAGCAGCGTTTCTCTGGGAGAAAATGCCTTGTTGACATCAGAGATCTGAAGGGACTGGCCTAGATGCTTTGGGGTAGCAGGAATGCAGCAGTAACTCAAATAACCACTGGTTAAAAGCAAGGTATACAGAAAAGCATCTCTGAAGGCACAACACATCAAATCGTGAAGCAGATGGGCAACAGCAGAAGAAAAGCACACTGGGTATCACTCCTGTCAGCTAAAACAGGATATGGAGGCTACAATTCACACAGGCTCACCAAAATTGGGCTATATAAGGTTGGAAAACTTTCCCTGGTCCGATGAGTCTCAAGTTCTGCTCCAACTTTTGGATCGTAGGGTCTGATTTGTTGTAAACCAAATGAAAGTGTGGACCCATCCTGTTGGTGATGGTGTAGGGAATATTTTAACGTGAGCATCTTTGAAATGCTACATGAGTTTTGTGTTTGATAACTAACCATGTCACAAAGCTCAACCCATCAATAACTGGCTTCTTAAACATGTTAATGAATCCATTGTACTTAAATGGTCTACATATTCCCAGATCTCAATCCAATCCAGTAAAGCTGACAAATTTGCAACAGCTGTGTGACGCTATCATGTCAACAAACATGTGTAAGACACTTAAATTTGACCCAACATGCTTTTCCTTATTGTCTGTTGTACAGTATTTTCAGGTTGAGAAAGTCAGTTGGAGCTAAAATTGCTACATAAACAGAAACGGCTTATTTTGAACAGTGAATCATGCAAAGCTACCCTAGAATTAAACTATGGAGCTGGAAATGGCAACTTGAGTAAAAGAAATCTGTGACTGTGTGTGAAAACTATGGAGCAACTACACAAACTACAACAGGTTTTTCTCCAGCTCAGAGAGTTCAGCAGCAGCAGCCAGTCTGTTTAATCTGCTGCAGTACATCACTGACCCTGCCACCCTCACAGCAGGAATCCACAACTTTACCACCAAACTCTTTCTTCCTGTACCTAAATGTAAAAGCAGGCACAAACAGTAATTGCATTCAACACCAATTAATCCAGTTCTTTAAAAAGAGTAGACGAATTCAGAACCCCTGCCGGCAAATAGATTGGGTGACAAGGCTTTTGTGTCTAGTTAGCCTCCTTCTCATCTTCCTCCTCCTCCTCCCTTTTCCTCTGCATTGCGGCGTGTAGTTGCTGTTCAGTGACAGAGTGGCTGGTGCTGATTGTTCTCAAAATTGGTCTTCAGGGTGGAAACAACTTTGTTTTTTCCACCTGTGGTTTGATTTAGTTTGCAAACTGCAGAGCACTCCTCAGACACTTCCAGAAATTAAGTTCAACTTCTCTGTTAACTTTACTTTCTTTTAACAGGAAGTGGATGCTGTGACAGCAGAGTGTTTGGCTCTGAGGGAGCAAGTGACTATCTACGAGGAGCAGCTGGCCAGCATGGAGACCCTGCACAGGACGGTGAGAGAAAGGGAGTTTGTAGCTGCAGGCTGATGAAACAGGAACAGTTTATAGTCACAGAAATGGCTCAAAACGTAGCACTTAGGTCAGACAGGAGTGTTGGAGGAATGCCCAGATCTGTGTTGACAAACGCAGCTCTCGCGACCTTGGTCACCTTGCTGAAGAGTTGTAACCAGAAACGGCCACAACAACAGAAAAATATGAGCAGAGCATTCAATTCCAGATTCATAAAATTACTTTTTTTAAGGGCTTTGTACTAAATGCAGTCGTTACTAGTCTTTTAATGGGAAGGAAGGTGTTTTTGGACTGTTACACTTTTAAATTTTACCTCAGGGGTTAAAGTGGGATTTGTTTAAGTGGTGGTAGAACTTAAAGATGGGCTGTTGAAAACAATTACTTGAAATAAGTCATCAAGTGATCATCTGCTACTCTGGTACTCGCTGTTTTTTGTCGATTTACCCAGCTGAATTCAACAAGATATAAGCAGATATTTCATGAACTATATTCCTCATTTTCCAACACATGGACATTATAAACCTAGTATAAAAGTTATAATTCAGTGACTGAATCCGATCAGCATTTAAATATAAATGCTGAATTGCCTTTAAATATAACTTGATGTTTGCTATCTTTGATGTAACTTCACATTGTCCATGAACACCACAGCCTGCTCTGTATGAGTCCAACATGGCATCAGTTACTGTAAACTAATCGGTATAGCATGCACTAAACTGTTAGTAGATCCACAGTATCCTCATGCAAAGTTTGAACAGCATAAATTGAGTGTTTTGCAAAAATATTTTCCAAAAACATAATGCAAGAACACATAGATCATATACCTGATTTAAAAACTTTAAAATGAGTCACATGTAAGATTAAAATTTTCTGTAGAGCACCGACTGCCACTTTGCATCTGCACCATGAACAGATCACAGGAATGTGTTAATTGATATGTGAATGTGCCAAAAATTGATTGTCTGTGTTTAAGCTGTTTACTTCTTGACCTGTAATGTATCAAAAACATCCCTCTCCTGAATGGTATAAATTCATTTTTGAGGCAGATCGAACATTTCTGTCTCAAGGCAAAAGCTGCAGTCAGTGTTTGGCAGAGTAACTTTTATATTTAGTTTATTTATCGAGGTAAAAAGTCTCTGTGAGATAAAAACAGTAATAGGCACCAACCTGCAGATTCCTCATTGATCGAAGATGCAGGAACACCTTCCCACTGTCCTGGGCATCTTACAGCAAACAAACAGGATGTGATTGAATTGCAGACTTTCAGTTAAAACCAAAATATTGCAAAAACTTTTGATGAATTACAACCAATTTAATACACAAATATAAAATCACAAAAAAGCATGTTATTGTCCAAAAACAGTCATGTGAAAAAGAGAGTTTTTACTGGAGTCCTGTGTAGAACCGAGTACACTTAGCGCTTCACGAGCTTTAGCAACAACAACTTAAAGTAATTGTTTTCTGTGTGATTTTATCAGTTTCTCACATCGTTGTGGAGGAATTTTGGCCCACTCTTCTTTATAAAACTGCAAAGGTTTCACCATAGCATTTCAATCAGGTCGAGGTCAGATCTGAGAATAATAAAAAATATGCCCATATTTTCATATCTGCATGGTAAATATGAAAGAACAACCAACTCTGTGGTTGTTAAGCATAACAAGTGGAAACAGGAGATTGAAGCTGACAAAATCTGCTTTCTGCCGAAGCTCACTTGCTGAAACATCAGTGTAAGAATTCACTGGTTTATAAAGGATTTTGTGCTAGTATCAGATTGTCATTTTATCTTCTAACTCTTGAACATGCCCCACAAAATAAAATGTATTAAGTAGCTTCTCTGCACTCAAACAAATTTTTCAACTACTCCTTTAAAAAAAGCACATGCTTGCAGCCATATTCTGTACATATCCACACACACCCCCAGCCCTCTGCACCTTCTACAATTTTCTCCACCTCACCAGGAGATGACAGGCGCACCCCGGTATCAGATCTAGAGGCTGCAGGCAGAGAGAGAGAGGCAGCTGAAGCAGAAGCAGCTCCATCACTCTGTGTTTTTCCTCTGCAAAGCCGGACCGCGCAGCATTTAACACACTCCCTCTGGGACCCGCTCGATAACTCCCCGTCCGGGAAATGCGGCTGAATACCAAATGAAAACAGAAGTTCCCTTTGTTTTATTAACTGTTGTTATTATCGGCACTTCCAGATACCCCACATTCCCCTGACAAATCGGCAGCCATGTCGTTATGTAGGTGCAGGGAAGAGGAGAAAAATGTTAGTCTGCCACTGCAGCTCTGTAGCAGTTCATTTTCTTTGTAACTGATGTGAGGCTGCAGACATGCATGTTGAGGCCTTTGGTCTCTGTGTGTTTGTAGCAGACAGAAAATTTACCTGAGTATACTTTTACTGCACAACACACTTGTTCCTCAGTTTCTTTTTTTTTTTACTGTTGTAGGGGTGAGCTATATCTGAAATACACTAGGCATCTATGGATATAATAAACATACATATGTGTACTAATTAATAATGCTGACACATTTTCATCAATAAAGACAAGGCTCAATTTTAAAATGTAATGCAAGAAGTCAGAGCATTGGTGGTTAGGTGTAATTGTAGCAAACATAAGGTCATATTGACCATCCAGCTATACAAGTAATCACATTACTCCTGTATTTCTAATCATTTTAGACTTTTAACATGTTTCTATATAAAATTAGGTGTCTGCCCTAGTGTGCACTTCTTGCAAGAACACTTTGGTTTTGCAGGGTCTTATAGAACCAAACCACATTAAATCAGTCATACAGGTAAATGGACAATGACAGGGACTTACTTTTAGACAGAGATAGTAGCTCTCTACTGCTGGGGCTGTTGAGAAGAGCCCCATCAATAAGCTTATAGAGAGATGAAACTGATATAAGTTCAGCTTATTTGCGTTCACTTCCATAATAATCCTACTTTCTCACGTGGCTCCGTTGGGAAAAATAATTGCATGCACACCCCTGGTTTAAACACATAAAATATGTAAACTGATGATCTGCAAAATTATAACAAACACATTTATAGCAGCACACCTGTTTTAAAACAGGATTTAGTGAAAAATGTTTATTTTCTAGCAGAAAATTAATCCAACGCAGAAAAATACACTGCAGTACATTGTGCTGTGACTATGTGATCTTACAGATGGGATAAAATATTACACTTGGGTTCAAGCCCAGGACTCCTCTGGAATTTTCCCATGTTGGTGGTCATATGGGGGTCACTGAAAACACTGGGGTGGCACAGCAAAACCAGAATTTCCAGTTTTATTATGCTGTTTTCAAACAGGTTACTTGAAAAATATGGCAAAGAAGAGAGAAAGAAAAGAATTACATGTCTAGTTGATTTCCTGTTATTAAAGTTGATATCACTGAAAGTAAATATGAGAACCAAGTAAGAGTTTGAAATCCATGATCATCTTTTTTAACTTGACTTTTAACTGCTTGACTTTAAGGCCCAACCATACTTTAATGATTCATCCTCTCTCGTGTTCACATTTATTACAATTATTACCAACATAGGACAGTCTTGCCAGGTGGGGTCAACAAATTTTGGGGGGTGGCCAGTGCCCCCTCTGGCCCCCTCTTTGTAGCGCCCCTGTTCAAACCTCGGGAAGCTCAGTTCACATGTTCTCCGCACCCTTGTGTGGATTTTCTTTGAGATCTGATTTCTCTTGCCACTGGAACAACATGTTAAGTTATTACTTATTACCAGGGCACTCCTGCAAATAAGATGCTTAATATCAAAGGGTTTATGGAAGCTTGTTGCCACCACTGTTGTTTTGGTTCGTTTTTTCCAGAAGTTTGAATTAGTTGAAATTTTCCTTGCTTAAAAAATGTTTTAGAAAATATGTATTTGTACACAATGTTCATTAATATTGCGTTCACTAAGAACAAATAGATCTAAGTGTAATGTTGCAGTAGTCTAAATTTCATACAACTACCTCCCAAAATGACCTGTCATACCTCAAAATCATTGTGAAGTTAGATGAGGCTGCTTCTTTGTCCTTTGCATGATCGATATAAAACCTGTGCTTGTTCATGTTTCATCTTAGATATCCTAAAAGCTCAGACCACCTCTCAGTCAAAGGACAAAAGTTGAGACAGAGTTGATTTGGACACGTATGAAGAAGAGATACTGGGGATGCTGGGAGAAGGATGTGGGAAAAATATAGCAGCCAGACAAAGAAAGAGAAAAGTCATAGATGATGATTGTGGATGTATTAGGAAATATTAGGAGCTGAATTATAAAGAAGTAAAGTAAAGTGCAAGTCTATTACAACTGACATTAAGAACAGTGTAATAAATAAATGTGTGTTGTTACATTCTTGTGTATTTGTATGTGTTTCGTGTATGAGCAGACAGTGGAGGATATGCTGGAGCCCAACGAAGGGATCACCCGGGCAGCAGTGATTAAATTTGGCAGCCCTGACATTGCTCCGGCTTTGGATGTAAAAAAGTACTACTGCCAACTGGCTGAGACACTCCAGGTACAACACAGAGTACATAACACACAAAACCCACAGAGAACCACACCAATACCATGCACCGGACGATCCGAGGGCCTGCGCTAAGGCCCAGTTATTAACTGTGAATCATGTGTAGAGCCCCAAAATGAAAACATGGAGTCAGAAATGAACATAATGGTGGTTTACAGGGAAAAACATGTATTCAATACATTACTGAGCCATATAATAACAAACAAACAAGAAAATAACGTATGTACACCACTGTTAACAGCTGCTAATTCTCCAGCTATTCTGAAAATATGATAAATAAGCATTCATGGCTTCACAGGCTGGATTCAGACAGACATCGGTTGCGATCTTTCAGTGGCTCTCAAACTGTGGGTCATACAGTCACTACATTTTGAGGCTGTACTACAAAAGCAAGATTTGTTGAATGAACTAAAAACATAATAAATGAGTTTGTTAATGCCATCGTGTTGACCGAGTTTCACAAAAGTTAAACCTTGTTCCTCTAAAACTTGTCGAGGGAATGGGAACAAGCCCTTTTTTCTTCATATCTGGGATATGCCACAAAAGGTTTGCAGAGCCACCGGTGAGCACACATGGAAACACACATCACAGCTGCTTGAGCGTTTTATGATCTCATGATCTCAGAAAACTAAACAGTTGTCATTATTTTTTTATTTTTTGGCCATGCATCCTAAACGGGGCACAAACGCTTCCAACAGAAATCGATCTTGTGTGGTTTTAATTTCACTTGATGATATTCTCTCCAGCTCGCCAGCCAACCTGTGCTGAGTGATTTCGTGACAGGATAAAGTAATGTGTTACAATCTCACTGCGTGTATTGGCCGGACCATGCCATGGAACGGAGCAATGTGAACAATAAGGTTGTGTTACTGGGTTGTTTTTTAATACTTCTAAGTACCTTCTGCGGTTTATATATTGGTGCAGGTCGTTCACTTCCTGTGGGTTATTTCATTATTCTTGAACTGCTTCTATTTAAATAAGAGATCCGAGTACTTTCACTTTTGACACTCTCTCCAGTGACCAGTTCCTCATCCTCTTTACGATTAACTCCAATATTCTCACCGCACCACCCTCCCTCTGTCCCTCTCAGCTTTCACAAATCACACAACGAGGCTCCCACTTGTTTTCTTTACCTCTTAACACAACATTGGGGAAGAACTTGGAAATCAGAGGTGCTGTTCTGGACCCGAACAGAATGTCTTTGTCCACCTGTGTGTGTGTGTGTGTGTGTGTGTGTGTGTGTGTGTGTGTGTGTGTGTGTGTGTGTGTGTGTGTCTTGCAGCACCGAGGTCCTGCACTGGGGTCAGACTGTAGCTCCGGTGGGTCTGACCCTCTCTGAGGTGAGGATGTCTGCCTGGTTCAGAGGTCAGGGCTGCAATCAGACTGCAGGCCGCCTTCCCAGGCTCCTTAGCTGCACTGAAGTGGACACTGGTGTTTGTGTGCATTTAATATGGAGACATGACTAAGGGATATCTGCCTGTCTACGTGTGTTTCTTGTTCTTTAAAACGCCATCTATTTACTCTCTCCCTCCCACTCAGGCTCTTGCCTTGCCAGCTGGACACCGTCCTGTCTGTGCCTGGCCTCGATTACGAGACGCAATTGTCTCGATGCTAAAACGATTGCTATTGGTTGTGAGCAGTAATGGTGATTGCTGGCGGACTCCTACACACCTGTGCGCCCTCATGATTTGGCTAATCATGAAACTGGTGTATGCAAGGAGAGCTAGTATGAGAGACTCTGATTGCTCCCCTGCCAAAGTGCACTTAATTACTCAAAAAGATCCCAGCAGCACTGACTTCTCATCTTGTGTCTCTTCAGTATGAGTGCGGTGCAGCCTCCTCTGCTGTGGTCCACAGTGGTGACGGAAAGGAAGTGGAAGTGGGAGGAACTGGAGGGTCAACGGTCAAAGACTTGACAAAGATAAAGGACGTCGGTGAGATAAAGATGCTGGTGAGTGTTCTCCCCCTGCCCTTTCTTTAAAGAGTTAGTTGAGCCAAATTACACAAAGCACATACGCTTAGCATAGTTTGTTTGGAGTAAACTTGAGCTTTACATCAGGGCAGGGTGTTTTGGTTGCATTTGCCAAGCTTTTAACTTCTTCCGAACTTCTTGCACGAAAAGGAAGCTAGTTGATCCAAAAAAGGAAAAAAAAAAGATTTACCCATTTTATGTACGCCTACAGCAACTTATATCTGGAACAAACAGTCACAACTAAAGCCAAAAGATCATTTACAGTTTATAGTGTAAGAGAGCATAACATTATGTGATTGTTATGTTTCATATCTTTGTTTTGGCCACATATATTTGGAAACCAGACTATGATTAACATTCTTTATGAATGAGTTATATATTAAATAACGCAGTGAATTGTTCTTCAACATATGCTTTTGTTTGCCACTAAGACATGGCCTGAAACAACTCATGTTAGGGAAACCATCCAGCATCATACAGTAAGTTCTACAAGTAAGTGTAACAAGAATCATCCCCCTGCTTCTTTTCATAAGTAAACAAGTGTGAGGAGAGCAGATATGACATGTTTAATATTTTCCCGGCTGAAATCATACCAGACACAACACACGCCAATGGCAAACGGGGTCAATTCTATCCTTTTTATACATATACCTCTGATCTGCTTTCATATCAAAAACATGTGAAACAGTAAGTACCAAGTTCAACATTTGCAAACCACCTTTAGCAACGTGGACTAAAAGTAACTGTTTTTTAAATGACTATATCAGTGTCATCGTCATTGCCGTGGAGGAACTCCTCAGGGTTGCTTTGGTTTATTGAGATGTGCATGAATTAGTTTATGTACAGCTTTTTTTAGGTCCCACCACAGCATTTTAATTGGGTTGAAGTTTAACTGTGTAGCTCTGTTGTAGATTTGCTGGTGTGATTGGGATCATTGTCCTGTTGCGTGACATAGTTTCAGCCAAGCTTGAGCTGTAGGAACGTTGTCCTCGCAACGTGGATGAAGAAAAAACCCCAATGATCACCTCTCAGAGTGACATCTGATAGGCCGTGTTTGGTTTCAGGTGAAATATGGAACTGTGGGTTATCCTCGGAGATTTCCACTTTGGTTTTGTCTGTCCATTTTTTCAGTAGATCTGTGGTTTGCTTAGACGAATCTTTGCAAATCTAAACTGTGCTGCCATGTTGTTTCAGAGTGAACAGGCTTTCTTTTTGAAGTTTCTTTGAGCATTTCACAGTCTGACTTTGAGGTGAATTTGCTGGGAACATTCCAGGGTTGTGTTAACACAACGTTTGTCTCCAGACCAGGAAACTGCACAACTTTTGCTTTATAGAGGTGGTCACATTTGGTGACGATCAGTAATTTAAATAATATATGATTAGCCGCACCTGGCTACTACTTACCCTCCTGATATGGAAGCACTAAAGATGTACTGAACAGTACTGTGAAAGAGTCCTGCAAAAACTTTTCTCTTTCTTCGTGACTCTATGCGAGTGATAAAATTTTCTAATGTAACTCTTGGCATGAAAATTATTATTTTTTGTTTTTTTTTATGTTTTGAGCTCCACAATCAACACTCACTTGACTTCTGCCTCCACACCTGTGAGAAATATAAAATCAAAACGCTCTGCAGGGCTGCTGATTGCAACAGCCGAATGAGAGAATATTGTTTTTGAGGTGATCAGAGCTTTACACATCATTTAGGTCCTTTAGTTACTGCCTGCTGATAGTGATCTTCCCATAATACATTTTCAACCTCTTTACTGAAAAAGGAAAGGGTTTTAACATCTATCAGCTGGCTCTGTGTCGGTCATCAGCTCCTAAATCAGATGTAATGGTGAAAATGGATGGTTTCCCACAGCAGGCAAAGGGAGTTGAGAGCGGCTGAGTGACAGCAGAGCAACAGTGTGGGAGATCCTGCTGACCAGAGTGTTTACTCTGCGGACGTTTTCAGCAGGAGATGTGAAGAGCTCGACTGCAGCTCACACAGGATTTATTGCTCTCTGTGTCCTCAGTTATATTAAGTACAGTCTTTCAGAGCGCCTGCAGTGTCATAGGCGTCTTTATACTTCTCACACACACACTGAGCGGAAAGGAAATGAACCTTAATTTGTCATCCTGCTAGCAAAAAAAAAATTAAAAGGTGCCAAGGGAGCAAAGAGACTTTGAAGGAAACAGACAACAAAGTGAGACGTGAATGAAAAGACAAACCAGGAAATGGTGACTCAGGTAAAAACACTTCTTATAGTCCACCCTGGTCTTATTAGCATCCGTCAGTGGTCTGACCACAGCTGGCACCCAACCACATCTGTAGCAAACATGGTGGTTTGGTTCTCATTAGTGTGGCTCTACCTTTCAGCTCTTTAAATAAACATCAAGCCTCTGTAACCTCAGCACAAGTCTCCCAACATCATCTACTTTTCTTTAATATTCAGCCTCACTTTTTGCTCTGTCCAGGCTGACGGATGGACAGCACGGCCTGATCTGCTCTGTTTCCTCTTCGTCTGTGATGGATGCCTCGGGTCTGGTTTCTCACTGAGAGACAACATGGCCAAACAAACCGATTGCAGTGAAATCAGGCCTGACACACAAATGTATATAATAGAACAGGCTCTGATGGGTTTATCCGCCACCGCTCGCGTATACATACAAGGCCAGGCTCCACTTATCATGCCAAGGAGAGTAAGTGAGTCACACAGTTTGGGAAGTCTCCATCAGCCTGTGAGTAGTAATCGGGTCGTCTTCTGGTCACATGATCTGGCTGAAAGACGAGCAGGACTGCCTGGATCCCCATCTGGCTGTGACAGCTAATTGTTGAACTTCAGTGATTGCTGTAATTACTCACGGCGGGGGAAGGGATGCTCCTCAGTTAGTTTGTGGTGAAAGTAAAGTAACCTGTTCTGTCTGTGTTTGCTGGGTCAATTTGCATACTTCAGTTGTAGTTAGAGCTCAGTTTAAATCCATGTTTTCAGTTAGTAATGATGAAAAAGTGCCACTGGGACTGATGGGAGTAGCTTTAAATCAGAGGTATGTAGTTGTTAACTAAAATACAAAATTTTGCCCAGTTAATGTCAAGTCAGGAGGCTAAGGAAGTAATCATAATTCCTCCTGAGGGGGGGTCATAATTGTGTGAACCAAATTTCATGGCAGTCTATCCAATAAATCCTCAGATATTTCCTCTTAAAAACGTCAACTTTGTAGTGGTGCTAGAAGAATTGTCAGGGGATCACCAAATTCTGCAGAAGTCACCATCTGGAATCAATGAATGTCTGTTCAATATGTCATGACAATCTAATATACACTGATCGGCCACTACATATAATGTTGTGTAGGTTCGACTCATAGCACCAAAGCAGCTCTGATTGGTCAGGGCATAAACACAGGTCCAGATTTTGATCTAGGGAGTTTGGAGGCCATGGAAAGGTCCCTGGCTCTCTGTCATTTTTGGGGGTTCAATAGACCGTTATGTCCCACTAAGGGAGGTTGCTGCCATCAGGGGGTGATATGGGAGACATGGGTTGTGTGTGTAAAGGTTGGCGGCAATTTTTAGGTGGATGCGAGGTTTCAAAATAACATCCACAGGACATTTTCCAGGAGAAGATCGCATTGTTGAGAGAAAAAATTGTAGTATTCACATCAACTGTCAGTGGTTTTGATGTTTTCATGTTTCCTAATGTCATTAGCAAGGACCCTCCCAACCCCGAATAAAATAAAAACATTTATCCATAATGAAACAACAAGCCAGGTCAGATGCTATGATTTGGAGAATGCCTTACTTGCCAGTGGCTCCTTGGCCTGGCGGGTCGCTCTCATATCATCCAACTGATGCATAACATTCAACTTGTTATGGTGTTGGCTGCCATGTTTATAACTATCGATTTATTTTTAAATATCTAGCAGCAATGGATAAACATTAGCATTCATCTGAGTCCTATTTCTGGCCATCTGACAACTACAAACTGACGACAAACATCTGCTCTTGTTCTTGGCCTCATTTGTTGATCATTTTTCTGAAGTTCAGAAGTGAGACCACAGCCGAAACAATCCCCTTCCATTTGTATCTCTAAAAATGCTTAAATGCCCCACATGTCTATTTCTTCACATTTCCATGTCTCCACGTTTTTCTCAGTTTGTAACTCGGCCTCAAAGCAGTCTTCATTTAATGTGAAACGCAGTTTAAGGCTGATAAGAAGGTTGCCATTGACCAAAGGTTGAAGCTCTTTGTTGTCTTACTGAAGTGCTCCTCAGCTGCTGTTCTTGAACTGAACATGAACACGAGGGCACTAAAATGTTGTGGTATGGGATTATTACATTATCGGTAACAAAAGAATTCAATATACAAGCAATTTTGCAGATATATATTCAATGAATAACTCCTTCTCTTTATTCCTGAAGATTTCAGAGCTACAAAAGGAGCTTGCTGAGCTCGAGAAGCATAACGAGGAATTGGAGGACGAGGTTGAAATGAAGAAGGCTGCATACATGGATGAGATTGCTGATCTAGAGGTATAACAGGGGAATGATTAATGCAGTTGAAACCTATATTCTGTCATTCAACTTCATCCTCTGCTGCTCTGTGTGGGTGTGTGTGTGACATTAGGCGACTATAGATGAAATGAAGTGTCAGAAGGCCAATTTCCAAGAACAGATGAAGGAGCAGTGTGAAGACTATAAGTTTCTGCTCACTCAGAAGATGGCCAGAGACATGGAAATTGCTGCTTACAGGTCAGATGGTTGATGTTTTTAATTATACTTAATAACATACAACTCTGGTTTCAAAATGTAAGTAAAATTAGATAATCTAATCAGTTTCGCATTGTGATAATAGAAGATAGAACTTAAAAACTAGAAATTAAAAGTTTTGGTTGACCTCAGGGTCAGGCCATGCGATGCTCATCTAACAGCTAAAGCTTGGCTAAAACTGAGTCATGCAACAGGACAATGATCCCATGACTGAAATGGCTAAAAAAAAGTCATATAAAAACACCTTAACAGAGCTGTGGATACACGAATGCCTGCAAATCTCAGTGAACTGAAACAATAACTTAAAGAAGAGAAAAGGGACATTCAGAGAATGATAACATGGTTCTACGTGCTGTTGAATTAGGAAGTGTACTTTGTTTTTCACAGGACTGTAAGTCAGGTTACAGTAGCAGCCTCAGAAGGGTATTCCAGATGTTCCTTTCCTCAGCAGCGTATTCCAGTTCTCTAGCATCCCAAGGCTCTCCCAGTCTAGACAAGATATACAATCTCTCCAGAGATTTCTGGATCTGCTGTAGGGTGTGATCAGAGCTCCGAGCTCCCTCTGGATGTCTGAGCTCGGAGCTCTGATCACTGTAATCGCATTTTATATTACGGTGAATTATAGATGCAGTCTAGGCATCCATTACTAGTATGAAGTGATAATGCTCAGATTTACTCTCTCGTTTCAATACTCAAGGTTTTACAACAGTAATCCACAAACCTACCACATCACATCGTGACAATATACTAATGTTGGATACAGTCTATAATGGAGTCGTATATAAATGGTTGCAATTTTGTATCCGTAAAAAGCAACTTGTTACATTGTATATTTGATAGTTATTATTGGACTCCAATGTAATAATAAAACTGATAAAATGGTTCAAATGGTTATGGTAAAATCGAATAATTTAATAGTTTATTAATTGTAATGAATTGCAGTTGAGGATTAATTAATTCATAATTGATTTTAAGCGTTTTCAATCATAACAAGGTCAGTATTCTGCTTTGTTTTGCAGATCATGTATTTCAGATATTGACTTTATAGCAGTACTTTAATTTAACCTTAAAACTTAAAGCACTATGATGGACTGTAATGTACAAGTGCTCATCCACGCCTCTTTTGCACATTTTAAAATGAAGAGCTTGCATGAATATAAACCTCTGTGCCTTCACGATCCTCATTTCAGGGCTGCGGGTTGTTATTCTTAAGGGAGACCAATAAAATTTTACACACACACACTATGCCACACACACGAGAAGACTTTGGGATGACTTGATTTAATTGTTAGTGAGACTGTCAGTCAAGAGGACAGCCGTGTCTGCTGGAGAAATATTCCAAGAAAAACACTGCATCATTTGATTTCAGTGATTAGTTTGTCATCCCCTGTTAAAGGTGCTGAAGTCATAAAGTCAGCTGCCGTAATATCTGATTGCAGTTAATATCTACAGACTCTGAGGCATACAGTGGATTCTCATCTCTGTGGTAGAGGCTAAAATGAAAACAGATGTCCGCCTCAATGCTCAAAAAGGTGCCACATAATATTTAAACATGTCAGGAGAAATGAGCTGTTCGGGGCAAAGCACATAATGGCCATGAGACGATTTTATTAAACTGAAATTAGCTCGAAGCTCTGTTTCCATTTGGAATTCTTCAAAGATGAGAAAACCACCAATATCCCAAAATCTTTTTCTAAAAGCTCTACTGTGAGTAATGCAAGGAGTGTTTCCACAAGATCCGGTGTATAAGCCCAGTATTGTCAAGCGCCTCATACAGTGCCACCTGGATATCCGTGATTTCCATTATAAGATATTCCTGAACACAAAAGGCTGACATCACGGGCCAACTGGGTTCACAGGAAATGTGCTGTGGTTTCCTGTGCGCGACCTTGAAGAAGTTTCATGTCATCCCCTCTGTTCATTGAGGTTGTTTAACCATCTGCCATCCTGGTATGTGGAGTGACGCACTTCAGCCATCCCTTCCCGCTGCCACAGGCTTCCTCCTGGTCCTTCCATCACCCATCCAACTGCATCTGACCATCTGACCCCAGGGGGGGCCCCCAATGCAGGCCTGAGCTCAGACCCTCAAAATACCTCATTAGAATGGGCAAAGAGGACCTCACACTGACAGCACTATGTGCTGGGCCCCTGCCAGCTCTTCTCCATGCCAGCCTGTTAATGTCAGTTCACCCCCCACCCACTCCGTACACACATTTACAAATTCGCCACAGTTTTAATTCCCTCTCATTACCCAGCAGACTGTCCCAAAGACACACGGGCGATGCCAACTTCTTTCCTTCCTTTCTTCATTTACTATATGTTTTGTCATCCGTGATTAAAGCCATGAATAAGAAATGAAAATGGGGATTGTTTATTCTCTCTGTGCCGTGGCAAACTGTCTGCAAAGAAGACCCTAATGACCCCGGGCTGCCGTTACTGGGTGGCTTATCGCCTGCAAAAGCACCTCAGAGCAGTTTGGGCAGATGCTCCCTACTTTTGCTTACTGCTAATGTGATCCATATTACACTGTAATTCTCTCTACTGTTCTTTGTGGTCTGCTCCTGCTGCTCCATGACGCAGCAACAAGTAGCTCATCTAAGAACAAGATCCTTTATTTACTTCACTATGAGGTTTCGTTTTTATATTACCGATATATCAAATGACTCCCCTCTTCCCCTTTTGAGCTTCTTATTTTGTTTCAGTTTCTCTGCTCTCATCACCTGTGTTGGAGTTATGTAGAAAAAGCATAGAAAAGGTGCTTGTGTGAATGGGTAAAGTTGTATAAAGGGCTTTAAATGCCTATGTACAATAGAAAAGTGCTACAGAGAACTGGTCCATGGCCATGACTGTCATTGCAATAATGGGCTTTTAATGAACTGTTGTTTCTATGAACTGTTGCTTTGCTTGGGTGGAATGATTGTACAAAATATATCTTCAATGACTAAAATGGAATTTATTTTGGATTTTTTTCAGAATCATACATACAGGCTTAAATATATGCGTACACGCTCACTAATATTTGGTTAAATGTCCCTTAGCAAATTGCTCCTCAAACAGATACTTTTTGTAGCCATCAGCAAGCTTCTTGGCAGAATTGATAGAGTTAATTGAAATTGGTTGGTGTCCTGGCACAGGCTTGGCTTTTAAGGATAGTCCACAAATTTTTTTTTCTTTAGGGTTGAGGCTGAGGCTTTGGGCAGGCCATAGCAGAGGCTTAATATTAGCCTGTTCTGTCCGCTCTAAAACACCTTTTTATGTGTAAATGGGATCATTTTCCTCTTGGAACATCCAACTGTGTCAACCGTCTGGCTGTTAATTTGAAGTAAAGTTGAAAACAGCCCCAGAGCTTAATGCTACCACCACCATGCCAGACAGTTGGCACAGCAGTCTTAGATTTGAAAGTCTCGCCTTTACTTCTACGACTCTTGTCATTGTGGCCAAATTTGCCTTGTCTAAACATAAAATCTTTCTGCAGGAAAAACATTTTTTCCTGCAGAAAGATTTTGGCTAGTTTTTGTGGGAAGCTGCTAATTTCAGTCAAGCTTGAAGATGCTGATTTTGGAGCATGGGCTTCAATCTGGTTTTGTACCCTCTCAATTCATGATGATCTAAAACTCACATCACTGTAGACAGTAATGCAGTTTCCAGTTCATGGCAGGCTTGAGCTTTAGTGGTTCTTAGGCTGTTTTTAATCATGCTAACCACTTTCCTCTCATCCAACAGTCTTCCTGTCTTCTGCCTGTCTCACATTGACTTCACCCTTTTTGTGTATACAGTCAATGCAGTCGATATTATCCTCAGAGATGAAAAACAGTGTTCAACTTAAATCCACATTAAATCCATTCAAGTGGAGAAAACCATGACTTCAAATTCTGACGGTACTCTATATGCTAGCTGTGGAACTGGCAGCTTTATAAGATGATAATATGTCATGTTATATGAGAATAACAAAAATGATGGGCGAAAGTCCTGGATCACCACAGCAGCTGCTCAGCCATGGAAACGCATAACACAAAGTTCCCGGTTTGTGTGCTGATGTTAGTGATGGAGGACGTTTGGAGCTCTACAGTTACTGAGTCAGCAGAGCAGTGAAGGCGTTTGTGCATCATGCCCCCTCAGCACTTGACGATCCTGCTTCTGTTTTCTTGTCAGCTACTTTGGTCTGAGTGCCTATGTTTCCTAACGTCCTCCGCTTTGCAATCACTTGCAGTTGATGATGAAATATCTAAAAGGAACAACTTTCACAAACTGACTTGTTGCAAAAGGAACTTCCTGTTTAGCGAGCTCATTTGAACTGCTTGATCTTTCACAAACGCTTGTACAGTCTGCCTGCATGGCTAGGTGTTCGATTTTAAACAAGAAGTACCTTAGCTTATTTGTGTAAACTCTTTTTAGGCTTTTATTGAAGTTAAGCATGTTATTAAATGAGTGATGAGCTGTTTACTTGGCTTGTCCAAACTAATTGAGTAACTGAGAAAATAATGTTCTACTCTGGATCTGCCAATATATGACTAATTAGTGAATGCCGTTCCTGCTTCTGTGAGTTATAACCTGTGTGTTGTGTTTTTATGTGCTTCTGTTGTTCAGGAGTCTAGTGGAGGAAGAGGAGGAGAGACTGTGCAGCCTGTGACTTAAGCCTGAGCAGTCAGATCTGCTGTCCTGACTGTGGTTGTGCTCCCCAACACAGACAAAAGACAAACGCGTAAAAACAGACCCCATTTCTGCACTTCGATGAAGCTTAACGCAACGATTCGGCATTTTGAGCAGACGTAAACTTAGTATGACAGATTAATGCTGTCTGGAGGCCTACAGTAAGCCGGGCCATTGATTACAGGTTTCTGGCAGATGACCCTGATACTCCAAGAAAGATGGAGCTGTCTAAAACTGGTGGGGGCTGTGGGATGAGTGTGTATCCGTGCAGCGTCTGGAAGGGATATTTCGTTAAGTGGGGCTTTATCTTTACCAGTTCTCTGATATGACTCATAAATGCTTTGTCCCCTCTTTGTTGAACAAGACTGACACGCAATCGCAGATAAACACACACACACACACACGCACACACCCTCAACTGTGCGGCTCCGCGGAGTCATTCCCGCTCTGATATCACCTCGTCCATCACTCAGCCTCTGTCTGGCTCTTAACCTGCGACCCCGTCACTGTTAACAAAGACAATGACGGCTCTCTCTTCTTTAACTAAAAGCGTTTCGCCTTCCCTTTGCTTTTTCAGCCATACATTTGAGTTGGTTTTGACGGCCGAGAGTCCAGCGTGCTGTGTTTGCTTTTCAAATGGTTCATGAAGTTGTTTTTCTGCAGCTCTTTCAAAATGAGCACCTGGATCTTTCCACAAGAAAAACTCTGTGTGATTAATCATTGCTTCTTTCAAAAGCAGTGTCCCAATTTACTGTCGTTTCGGAAATAAGCATTCGGTAATACACTCCCTAGTAATCTTTTCCTTATTTTCTACACAATGTTAAAGCCGTCTGCGATAAATCATTTTTGGTTGCTGCCTCTGCACAAGCATCAAAATGTTCTTTAGATTTAAATTGAATAAAACTAGTTGCTTGAGAGATCAACCCACGCTGTGTGATTTCTTTTGTTAAAACTCCTGGTTCATGAGAACCCCTTGTGAATCCTCAGGCTTAAGACTTTCTCCCATACTGTAGAGCAGAGTGATTTATGTTCAGTGAACCTTCTTCCATTCATCTTCATGCTTAACGTGAGATTTGCACATTCCCAGCAATTAGGGATCTCAAAGGCTTGTTAGCTCTGCCACAAAGATGAAAAATGCTGCTAATAACTGATCAGATAAGATTAGCCACACTCCATGAACTTGAGCTCAGTGACTGGGGAAGTGGTTGTGTGGCATCGGTGACTTCTTTAAATGCCCCGACATGAAGAATGGATGGCCCAGAAAGGGTTTTCTCAGAGAATAGGAAACAGAGGGCTTTTTTCTTTCTAATATTTAAAGCTTAACAACGTCCCAGTGCTTCCAAAATATCCCTCATACTAAAAATGTAGCAGGAACAACACCCTAACATGCCGTATTTTAGGAAAGTCACCCTCTTTCCTGGTCTTGTGCATTGTTGCTATGTACAGGAAAAGTGATGCTGTACACATCCTTACCCATTTCCTCACACAGAACGACCATCGTTAGTGATTATGGAGTAATTTTCCTCCTGAAATGTAGAGCCAGGAAGACAGATGTAAAAAAATGGGACTTTGGGGAAAATTTATTGAAAAGTAGTTCCATGTGCAAACATTGTGTGAAAAACATCAAAGAGGAAAACACAATACTCATAGAAAAAGAATCCCACAGCAGAACGTTATCTGGAAATTAAACTTGGGGGAAAAAAGCCTAGAAATAGAAGAGAAGGCGATCACTCTAAACTGAACTAGTTTTTCTCATCACCGATGCTTCCATGCATGCTTAATGCTATTAGCAAGTGATGCTAGTCTAATGAAGTGGAGCTGGGATGAATACAAATACACTTTTATGTTTTTAATTTAAATGTAAATCTGGTGCAGGTGTTCTATCGTCATTATTAGCGAGTTAAGTTACTTCACAAGTCATTTACACATGAAAACACCTAAAAGACAACTTTTATGTGCATTTCCAAAGACCTATTAGCTGAAAAACTGACATCTCTCAGGAGACGGTGCAATGTGTGCCAAAAAGTTTGAGGAAATTGCATAAGTGGAGAACAAAAGAAAAAGTGGCAATCCTAAAAATAAAGATATAACCATCTAAAAACATGTACAGCAGATGAACATCATCTGAAAGTCATGTCCTTAAGAAACAGGAAAAATACTCACACTTGTATTTTATTTGCATTTATTTATTTTCATTTGTTTGCTTTTAAAGTCACTACATCAGCACTAACATTGACAATTACATAACGTTTTTATTAAACACATGTTTGGTTGTCATGGTTCCTCGATAAAAAGCTGAACTAATTACAATAATTGAACTGGACTTTTCCATGTTTGTGCTGTTAGCACCGCTTTAAGGGAGTTATTTAGCATAATATGTCATTTTCTCTGTGTTCCAGACCATCCAAGGAGACTTTGTTTGACTTTTAGTCTGTCATGTTCTTTTAGCTTTACCATTTTCTTAGTTCATTTGCTGTAATTTGTGACTGTGTTGCACTTGTATGGTTTATTTTGCCTGCTAACCAAGCTAGCTATCGTTAGCTAATAACCTAGCACTGCACCCTTTCATCCAAACACAGTCACTTCTGACTAACAGAACTTCAGCACTAAGGCCTCAAAATCAATGGATGTTTATGCAGTCTATCGTTAACATGAGTCATTCCTGTGTTCCCAGGGTCCTACGTTCTCCAGATTTATGTGGTACATAATCGGAACATGACAAGAGATCCTGTGTTCCCAGGGTCCTGATGCATGTTCCCTAGCTTTATAGCATATATTCAGAACCTGAAAAACACATTACCCAGGTCTGTATGCACTTATGACATGGGCTTTTGTGGGAAGTGCTGGGATTTTGATAGCCACCGGTGTGTATAGTTGTTTTAACACTACCCCCAACCCCCAAGAAGTAAAAATATTCAAGGAGAGGAGTAATGAAATCTTTTAACTTAAACTGAGTCAAAATGAAGTATTGTAATGGGAAATATAGCACCCATAAATATAGATATGCTCCATTATGCTAACAGCTGCTCCTTAGCGTCATTTTGTTTGTTTTTTAGACTAAAATGCGTAAATTCAGTCGAATAATAAGTTAAACCAATGCAATAAACATCCACAATTAAACATAAGAATGACCCACAAATAAAGAAAATACTCCATAGGTAGAAAAATAAACACAACTCATGATGACTTAACTCTGATCAAATACCAATAAATAAACATTATCCTGAGGTAGGTCAGCAAACCCACCGAGATGCTTGACAAGGTCCACTGGAGCTTTTAAAGGTTGTTTGCCTTTGGAAAGTTGGTATTTTCACCTTCTTTTATAACACAATTAAGTATTTCAAAGGCTCTTGATATTTGGAGAGCAGTGACCTCTGTGCTCCTCTGTATTCTTTCGCCCCCATCACACGTCCCTGACAACTGAGAAAAATGTGCATTAACCCCTCAAAGCTGGTTGGTGACACTGCATGGCCCGGGGCAGGCACCTCTCCTCCTTGAAGCCGGACAATTTGATTTGGAGGTGGAGACTTTCAAAGCTGAGTCATGGATCAGCAGTCAGCGAGTGGCTTTGCCTTTTTCTTTTTCTTCCCTTGATGGTTGTTTTGGATGAGGGGGTTTGAGAAAGCTGCAAAAACCTGACCGACACCAACAAATAAAGAAGCCACTGCTGGGAATAACTGAAGATTTGGTCACTTTGGTGTGAGATTGAATGCTTCGGTGTGATTTTGGTGAAAGACATCATTATACACAACATAGACTGTGTGAATCAAGTTCACATGGTGCAGGAATGTCTTTAAATCAAGAGTGGCAGAGCTCGGCTGATAAATTATGACACCCGAGCTCGCTGTATCAGTCGACATATCTTCAATGCGCAGCAGAGGAATCTGATTAAGTCCTGAGGTAATGGAAACCAGGGTCAGCTTGTACAGCTCAGCTCAGCTGTCACCTACACATAGGTATTCCCAAAATACTCATATCCCTTCAGGTTCAGTCAGATAAATAAACACTGTCCTCACTAAGGACAAAAGTAATTTTTTAAAGTCTCTTCATGGCAGCTTGAATGTACCAAACCAATCTGGTGTTTAGAAAGCAAATAAATAAGAGAAGACGGGGTTGGATCAAGGACGAAAATAAGAACAGTAAAAATAAACAAAGGAGAAAGAGCTATTGAGAAAGTATTTCCTTAACAAGAGGGGAACAAATAATAAATTATGGGGCCCCTCTCCCTTGAGGCTGGACTGGCATGCCTCAGGGTGTAAGGAAGTGGGCATCCTTCTCTTTTTATAGGGGTCGTGGACAGGCCTCCACTGTGGGAGCATCACATAACACAAGGACAGAGCCCTGAGAGAAAACGGCTTAAAGGAATGTTTGCACACACAAACACACAGACCGAGCTCGTCACAGAGTTTATAGGCCGTGCAGCGCTGAATGAAGACGGTGACTGCGTAACCCTCGTGTCCCTCATCATGTCATCACTGCAGTTTCTCCCCTTCTCATATCTGCAGTCCCACTTGGCCTGTATAACTGAGAGGCTGCTGACAGCCATGACCCCACATTTACCCCACGCTCCCCTCACTTCTGTCCCAAAGCAGGTGGCAAACACCACCAGCATGACACTCTTCATCTTGATTTGCTGTCTATGGTCATTTTTGATACGTTGGATTTCTTGGCTAACTCTTGAGGGCCATGACATCGTGAGATAAAGGAAAGTAGCTTTTTAAAAGTTTCCTCAAACTCCAAGCAGCGTGTTAGTCACAGCCAAAGTTGATAAAAGCTTCTGTTTTGGCCCAAATGAATCAACTTCACGGGGCATGCTGTATGGAAGTGGATAAAAGCCTGGCCTACAGGGCACAGCCAGGATTTGTATTCCATACGCATTAAAGCATGCTAGCACTTTTTAAGCATAGCGACTTTATTTTCAGCTTAGGGCTTACACAGATCCAACCATTTGCTATATTGGATTCTTGGCAGATGGCCTGCAAGGATCTTGGCCACCCTTGAATTTAGTTCTCATGTTAAGCTTGACCGTGTCAGTAAATGGGCTGCTCCCTGCACTTACCCTAAATATAGGAACTTACATCGTGGTTGTAATGGTTTCTTATCAGCTGGGGGGAAAAGTATGTATGACATAGTTGCTGATATATGTCCTCCCACCTGCTTTAACACTAGCACTGATTATTTTCCTGGAATTTCTTTGTTGATAGCATACAGCAGTCTGCAGTGAGTGCACATTAATGCACTACATGAATGAACACAATTAACAAAAATACTGTTGTCTACTACTAAAGTGTTTATTTAAAGCTAATTTGACCTGCTTTTGTGCAGCACGGTGGTTAGTACTGTTCCCCCAAAGAGAAATTGTCCCAGGTTTAAGTCTACTGGCTGAGGTCTTTCTGTGTGGAGTTTTCAAGACCCCCCCCCGTGCATCTATGGGCTTCTCCCAGAGACATGCATGTAAAGTTACCTGGTGATTCTAATTTGGCCATAGGTGAGAATGGCTGTCTGTTATGGAGACCACAGGACATCCAAAGTTCTTGCGAGAAAATCCCCATTTTGTTGCCTTTGAAGTTGTTGGTTTAAAGAAAGGTCAACCACTTGCAGTCAGTTAG